AAATTAATACTAAAAAAAAGTTATTCGGAGTGGAAGTGGGCTCTAAGACTGTGGGGAGACAAGATGGTGGGCCTGACCTCATCCTCTTCACGTGCTCCTCTGACCCACATCTATCACCATCTGGGCCCCCTCTATTGCCCACCACTGAGACGCAGCCCGGTTGTCCCCACCTCCCAAATCTCCAAAACAGTCCGTTTCAAAGTCCGTCATCCACTACAAACAGTCAATGGCCGTAGCCCGTAGGGTATTGTTGTTTTGGCCCTTGAGAGGACTGAGAATCTTCATTTATTTATTTTTTATTTTGAATTATACAATGAGAGATAATTTTTTCTCATTTATTAACTTCACATCTATTTGTATGTAGTATGATTTAAACTTATGATTTCTTAATTCTACTTAGGAGCGGCAATTTACCTAGATCTTCATAAAACTTCGTGAAGATCCTTGCCATGAGGACGGGGGCATTTTCCTCCCATGAAATTTTGTGAAAAATTTTTCCCATCTCGTGGAACCCTATGGGGATCCCTATCCCCGCAAAAATTTAAAGAAATACATAAATTAATTTTTTTTTAAATTTAATTCAACATTTAAACCTAAATCCAATCCAATAAAAATTAAACTTAATCCAATTTTACCCAAACCAATTGAACCCAACCCATTATTAACCATTTAACCCTAAGTAACCTCACTCATTTCTCATCACTTTCACCTTCCCCTCCACTTCTACCATCGACACTCTTCATCTTCAAGAATCTCAAACCTTGATTGCTGCCCTTCTAAGTTCTGCCCCTCTCACCCTTCTGCTCTCACTTTCACTCATTTCTCCATTGTCGCTATTGCTCTATTGAAGCTGCTATTGGATTTGGAACTATTGTCAGAACCGAACTTCATATTGCTGGAGTTGCTACTGAACTGTTGCTAGAGCCGAATCCATCAGACTATTGCTATCAAACTCAAAGCCATCTGTTGGTATTAAGTTTATATTTCTTTTATTTTTTATGGTATATTTATTTTGTTCTTTAATTAAGTAATTAATTTTTAATCTAAATTTTCTTGTTTAAAATAGTTTCTTTGGTTGATGTAAGTTTTTTTACTTCGAATGAGGATGTGGATTGTGATATACATGACCTTTTTTTATATACATGTAAGAAAATAATTCAAAGGTAAAATATAATGACCTTTTTCTATACTAATTATATAAATAGTTTTTTTATAAATATGTTAACATGAAATATTTATTAATTATATTGTAGTCTTTTTGATGAGAAAATGTGGATTTTGAGAGCTAAGGTGTTTTGAGTTAGTTGCCTCCCTTTATGTTGGAATTTGGATGTTGGTTTAATTATTGCATTTATGATTTTTGTTTATGTCTAAAACAAGTATGTTGGATTAATCTTTATTTATGTTTGAAATAAATTTGTTAATTTAGCTATTTATGGTACATTAATCTTTATTTATATTTGAACAGTTTATATTTAATTTTATATTCAAAGAATTTTAGTTAATTGTATTTGAATTTTTAGAATTTTATTCATTGTAATTGAATATTAATTAATTATATGTAAAAAAATTATATTTTAATATTAATTAACGGGAAATAGGGATCCTTGTTCTCCGTGATGAATGAGGATAGGGGAAAAATTTGCCCCTCTAAAAAATCCCCACGAGAATTCCTAGCCTCGTGGGACCTTGTTGGCATCCTTACTTCCATTAAATAACCTATAATCACTTGCATGTTATGTGATTTGAACTCAAAACATCTTATTTTTATTAAAAAGAGATTATTATTAACCTATTTAAATAGTTGGTGAGAGGATTTATTTATTAGTATTGTGTTGTAATAGTAATTTTTTTTATTATTCTAAAAGTTTATAGATATTAATTAAATTAATAAAAGTATATAAAAATTAATTAAAAATAAGAAATTTATGTTTTTAAATTAGATGTTACCTGAAAAAGATCTATAAAAACTATAGTCAAAATACACAATAAATGCAATTTTTGAAAAAGCAATTTTAGCTTATGTAAAGAAAAATTAATTTAAATGTCTAGAGCATTTAGAACTTGAGGAGACAAATTTGTAGCTTTTGAAAAAATAATTTTTTTGCTGCTAAATTCAAACTTCATCAATTTCTAAATTTATTTTGTATAAATTTATACTTCAAAATTTTTATAAAACCGGCCCAAAAGAAAATTTTATAGGAAGTCCAACTTTGTGAAAAGTACAGTTAAACCACGTTGCTTATCAATGCTAATTTAACCCTACTTTTAAAAGACATTTTGTACTTCATGACCAAGGTCCCAATGTCCCATACGTTCAATATAGTAAACCTAGCAAAGCTCGACCTGATTCACTTGTTTTAGGTGAGACCATGGGGACACAACTTTACCTTTTGCATGGGGACTTGTAGTTTTTACTATATATTTCTTATTTTTTGAAAAATAAAAGGAATTATTTAGTAAAGAATTTTCAAATTTTATTATTAAGAAGATAGTTATGATTGCTTTTTTTAAGAAAAAAAAAAACAGAAGAAAATTTCCCCAAAAAAAAAAAAAATGGTTGCCTTCAAAGATCCCTAAGAGTCTAAATACAGATTAAGATATTTCACCCCCTAACATAATTTCCTAGCTCTGTCCTTCATCATAACCCCATAACTCTCAAATGGGTGTGAGTGTGTGACCACTCAGTAATCACCTTCTCAGAGTTGTGAACCCATTTAATATTATACATAACGTGCGGATCATATTAACTCAACCCCAGGGGTGGAGTCAGAATTTTTTTTAAGAGAGACAAGATACTTTTTTTTATACTAATTTATAAAATTTTTAAATTTCAAAAGAAATGAAATAATTTTTCATATACTAATTTGTAAATATTTTCAAATTTCAAGGGGGCTAGCACCCTCTCGCACCCCCTCCCTCCGCCCCTGCTCAACCCAATTAGACGCTGCAATTAGATATTTGCCAGGTCTAATTCTATTGAAAGCCCCAACTCCGAAAACATGACACAATTAAAAAGCAGACCTGCCAATAATAGAGAAGCTGACTTGGAATTTCAATAACCCGAAATTTATTGCCAACAATTGGGCCAGCTTCCAGAAAAACCCAATATTGAAAAATTAATTTTGTTAGTCGCCTAGTCCATTGAACTTGCAAATCCAAGTGAGAAAGTGGTTGTGGACCTCTTGTCTTTTGTCTGGAATTTGAAATGGATCCAAGACTCGATTGTTCGGCCCGTTTGTAATGATAGCAGTCAAATTCTTAAGAAATATGAGGAGCTGCAGCATGATTAAGGTCAGTTGGAGAGAGTGAGGTCATATTGCTTCTCATTTTGTCATCATTGTTTAAGAAGCATAAAAGCCTTTTTACCAAGCAATTTAGTCATTGCCTCAATTGTCCACTATTTGTTTTGGACAAGAATAAAATGTGACGGTTGTATGCTTTGGGGTATAAGCAAAGGCATGGGATGAATTTGATTGTCTTGCCATGTAAGCCAAAAGATTAGAACTAGCAAAGAAAGAGTAGCACTTTCTTGGGTTTGGGGAGGAGAGTGTCTATTTGCCACTCAAAAAGGGAAACCCTCACTTTATCATGAATGAAACGTTAGAGAAGTTAGGTAAAATCCTATGTTAAATCCTTAAATTTATCGTAGATTTTCAATTAAACTTTTAAATTTTTATTGAAGCAAACAAGTTCATAAGCTTAGTGATTTACACAATTTAACCCTTTTGCTTATGGCAAACTTAACTCTCGTTTATGCTTTACTTGTGTGTATAAGGTCAATACCCATTACGTAGACAATTACATGTTAATATCTTGTTCATGCAAGAGAGGCACAAATAGGCATTAAGTATGCTATAAAGAAAAATAATTAAATTGCTTAGATTACCAAATTTAGGGGCTTATTTGCTTCAATAAAAATTTAAGGGCTTAATCAAGAATCTGAGGTAAATTTAAGGGCTTAACATAGGGTTTTGCCGAGAGAAGTTAATGACTTTCAACTTGGATAAGATAGAGAGATATATTTCCAATTGTATTGGATGGCTATAGAATCATGATTCTTCTAAGTGTGGAGCATTTCTTTATTCTCTTAAACTTTAGGGGTTGGTTTTTTGTTTGCAAATTAACCTTTCATAATATTGTTTTTGGTACATTTGAGGGTTTTAACTGCTTGATATTATAGAGATTTAAACTCTTAATTATGAAAATAAATCAAATTTTTTGAGTTTATGGGAACCAATATAGTAATAACTCTTGTTAATTAACCTTTCGCATTGTTGAAATTTTTGGAGGTGATGAAGAAAAAAAAAATGCAAATTGCATTAATTCGGAAAAAGAGAAAAACAATTCTCCTTTGTCACATCTAATGGTAGGAAGATATGTTAAAATCCGATGAATTATAATTAATTGTATTTTGCAATAGGAAAAGTGACAAATAAAAGATCAATAACTTTACAAGCGTTTATACTTAAATTTTGTTTTCCATTTTGTGATAACATAGAATATAAATTAAACACTTGATAGCAAAAAATAAAAATATTATACAGGGTGAGTAGCATATTTGTAAAGACCAAAGATTTAAATTTACAATTATTTGAAAAACCCAGCAAGATTTACATTTAGCAACTAGCTTCTAACGGAAACTATAGCAATTCGCCAATCATCCATGTGGCTTAAGTGGCCACACTTATCTTTGAGAAGCAAAGTGATGGCACCTTTGGTGATATGAAATATGAATCTCAAGATTGACACTTCATGTCCCCTAAGAGCAAATACTAATATTATCAATATAATTATTGCTTAAAAAAAAAAAAAACTACAGTAGTTTGGTGGTAGTACTATTGATTAAGGTACCTTATTGGTCTTGGCAAAAGAAAAGTACAATATTGGTTATGCAATGTGGTGATTATGAGGGTGTTTTGGTCATTACCCACATACGACAGTAACACCAAAAAATAACCGACCTACATTGACTTAACACATTTTTTGAAGCTAGATGGTCTTGACACTAATGTATTGATTAAGGTACCATATTGGTCATGCCCAAAAAGAAAAGTACCATATTAGTTTTGCAAGGTAATTAATGAATATGAGGGTGTTTTGGTCATTACTACTTAACGCTAACACCATTGGAGTTAACCGACCTATATTGACCTAACACAAGTTTTAAAGCTGGTTAGTTTTGATACCAATTCTTTATCAACTTTGATCTATCTAAACGTGTCTGACAAAAAATATATAAGACAAAAATACACTGGAAATTACAAATCTCACCTATAAAAGCTAACTCCAAATATACAAATCTCACTTCACTCCATCCCTTTTCATCTTTCTAGTTATTATCGAGAAATAAACCTTGTCGAGATAACCTAATCGACGAAGCTCCCTACCTCAATCATCTATTAAGGTATGAGTGCCACTTTACTCATCTAATTCTAGATAGTAATACTAGTATAAATTGATTGATTTTATCAATTTGCATGTTTACTTGTTTGTTTTTCTTGTTTTAGTTTTGTGTTTAGGTTATATGATAAGCGCACACAATATAAGTCTTTTATGGGAGATTTTTCTTTAGTATAATTATGATGGGTTTAAACTAGAATTCCAAACTATCCACTCAAGGAAAGGCGAAAAGATGCATTTATATTTTTGAAGTAAAAGAACGACTAGTTTTCCCTTTAAACCCATTTCCTTTTGATTAGCTATTTTGTGCAAATCTAGTGTGATTTACCTTGGAGAAATTTTGTGAAGTTAATTCCACAAGATCTGAAAAGGGAGGGATTTACCAAAAAGAAAAAATTGTGATTGTATGGATATTTGGAAGCTTCCAGAGATGTTGACGCACGAAAGGGTCCATACCATGGGAGTCCAGAGCATATTGCCCTGGGACTTGGGCTTCTGCTCTGGGACCAAAGTGGTGGTGGAGTGGTGGACCTCTAAATATTTCATTGATATGTTTGGAGATATTCTTTCAATGGGCTTGAAGGCTTTACTTTCCTGGGCCTGAACTTGTGTAAGCCTATGTGTTTAGTTTTCTTAGTTTAATTTAATTTCATTACTGATATATAAAAACAACCTAGGATCAATTATTTTATTTTCAATTTGATTTCCATAAATTTTTTATTTTTGTCCCATTAATTGGTTTTACTCTTTTTTATGAGTTAAACTTTTGTATTGAAAGCAATGAGACGCCCATTGCGACTAAGAGATCCAGCTCATGCTCACTGTACAACAGTAGATGGAAACTCTAGCCATGTCCGATGCAACTACTGTAAGCATACAATGCGGGGAGGAGTTAGCCGCCTCAAGGAACATCTAGCTAGAAAGAGAGGGAATGTAGTCGCTTGCAAAAAATGCCCAGAAAATGTGACATCTGAAATGAGGAAGCTACTTGCCAGGCGAGCATCTGAGATAGAGGAGGAGGAGAATAATATGATGAGGCAATCATCAGAAATAATGAGAGATGGAGAAGCTGAAGGAGGTTTATCTCGCAGGACTAATGCAGAGATTGATGAGGAGAGAATTTTGTTGGAAAGAGCTATCCAAGAAAGCCTCCGTACTTATGAGATGGAAAAGAAGACGATTGCAAGAGATGAGGATGAGTTCGAAGCTGCTTGTCGCGCAAGCAAACTCTCTTACCAGCAAGAGCTGCAGAGGCGTGGGGAGGGTTGTAGTGGGACGAAGCCATGGCCTCCAAATGAGGATTACAACTGCAATAATCATATTAATCTGGATGACTCTGATTCAGATTATGATAGTGATTAAGGATTTTAATTTTTTATCTTAACTTTAGTATTTAAAAACTTGAGTTTATCATTTCCTATATAAGTATGGCTCTTATGGGGCAAGAATAAATTGTTGATATTGAGACTTTTCTCATACAGAGACCTTAGATCTATGAAACTAATGATTTAAGATACCTCTTATTTTCTTAGTTGAAAAATATATAAAATGTTATTTTTTTGTTCACATAAAACAATAAATCATTGATGGAGAGATGACTTTCAATATTAATACATTATTTTTTCTATCAATAATTAAGTGAAGTACTAATTGCCTGATATATATATATATATTGTGATTGATTTAGATCTTTTCTCCATTTGTGCATATCGTCATAGTGCAATATTAATGCCAAGATATCAAGTCAACACAAAATTTGTTAGTTACCTATGATTCAATGCCTTTTTCCCATCTCCACATCGTTTATAAGGATCATACTTCTTTTGCATCTCTATGGCACTAAAAACACCCAATCCACTTTCCTCAGGAACACCGTCATCATCCGTTTTTTGGTCAAGTACCATCAACTCCTCTTTGTACTTAACACTATTCGCATTTCCATCTCCTTGCCATTACTGTGATCGCACCCTTTTAGCACACTAACAACTTCCTTCATATTCGGCCGCTTCTCAGGCTCACTTTGCACACAAAGAGCAGCAACATTTGTGGCTTTCTTTAGTTGATTTTCATCAAAGTTTCCTCGAAGCTTTGGATCCACAAGGTCCCTGAACCTCCCTTTGATAGTAAATGGCTCGGCCCATTCTGTTATGGTCCTCTTCACACCTCCGGGGAGCTTTTCTATTGGTTTACTCCCCGTTATTAGTTCAAGGAGGAGAATGCCAAAACTGTAGACATCACAGCTCTCAGAAACCTTTCCCCACATGGCGCTAGGTACCCGAGCGTTCTCTTAACACGGGTTGCCATGTTGGTTACACCTTCAGGAATTAGCTTTGCAAAGCCAAAATCTGCAACCAGTGGCTCAAAATCGGAATCCAAGAGAACATTGCTTGCCTTGATGTCTCTATGAATGATGTGGGGCGTTACCTCATGGTGCAAGTACCTAACAATATCAGTATTAATTAAAACGTCATTTTATTTTTCATGCTGAGCAAGCTAGAGCCAAGATGGCTAGAGCAGGAAGAGCTTACAGGATGCCTTCTGCAGAACCAATTGCAATCTTCATTCTTCTTTTCCAATCCAACTGAACCTCGCCAGCAAATTGACCGTGCAAATGAGACAGCAAGCTCAGATTTGGCATGAAATCGTAGACTATGAGCCTCTGATCTGTCCCTGCACAGTACCCCCTAAGTCCCAACAGATTCTTATGCCTAACCCTTCCAAGAACTTCCACTTCCACTTCCACTTCCACTGCAAATTCCATCTCTGCTTTTGAGTTAATTGCTTTCAATGTCTTCACAGCTATCTGATCTCACAAACAAAAATCAACCAGTTCTTATAAATTTTTCCCAGAATTTGACGCAGACAAACAAAAACAATTTAAGAAACATCTATAGACTATAGGTATGTACCTGAAGACCATCATTTGTTCTACCCCAGTAAACACTGCCAAACCCTTCCTTACCAAGCTTGTTATCCTCACTAAATCCATTAGTTGCCGCATGTAATTCTTTGTAAGTGAACATTCTCCATGTGTTATTACCTGCAGTAGACACCGTGCTTATCCTACAAACATATATAATTCCATCAAGCGAAAATATATATATATATATATATATATAGCCATATGCACAAATTTAGCTTGAAGGAATTTAAGGTTTCGATTTTTCATTTTCTTTTTGCGTACCCTTCATCGAATTTCTGGGAACCAAAGCAACTGAATGACAATCCCATAGCTGCTTTTGAACTGGTATTATCTGATTGTGAGGTTCTCAACTCAAACTCAAATGGAGTTTAACATTTCCTTCTAGAAGGGACTGATGGCATATTAGTAATTTCAGTTACACATGTAACGCCACCTTTTGCATTTCTTCAACAGCCGCCCTTGGCCGGCCGTAATTTAGTTCCCATTTCCATCGTGAATCGTTAGGAGTAACCCTCTAACAATACCTATCAACGGATTTGTTAAATTTGATTCTTAATTGCATCATCTTAATGAGAAAAAATTAATTTTAAAATATGTAAAATTTGACTATGAGTACCTTATTCCTAAATTAAAAAAAATATTGTAACATGTTGAATTTGTCTCACATCAAGAAAAGTATACTGTGGTGCCACTTGGCTTAAGGCGGTTGGTCTAAACTAACCCATCCAAAGGTTTGAACCTTTAGGGTGCTGGGTTATTTTCACCCCTCAATTATTGCTACTGTTAAAAAAAAAAAACGACATAGGGTGTGTGATTCATCCCAAGTTGCATAACCACATTCAAGAATCAGAGAAGACTGCAAAAATGCACTAATCTGGACCGTTCAATATTCTTATAATTTGAATCTCAATTAATAAATGTATTTATCATTTCATATTCATAGGCATGGTGGTTGACTAATTACTAATTTTCCACAGGAATACTTCAAAGCTGAATATCGTTTCTGCTTGGATTTTATTTGCATAAAATTTCACATGATTTGGTGATAGATCATCATGACCTAATCACAAGTAAATCATATATCCTCCTTAATAGCTGATTTAATTGTTTAGGGATTTGCTAACAACTTAAATAATTCAATAGTTATTTCATTCTGTTAAAAATAAAAAGTCTTGAGTTTGAGTCATATAACATACGGATGTGGTAAGATAAAATATGAGAGATAGTTGTCTTTTATTGTGCAACCAAAATTGAAAAAAAAAAAAAAGTTCAGAGCCTAAATGAGACTTTTGTTACTTTTAGATTGGGCCTCATTTACCCTAAACCCATTTAAAATGTAAGAAAGCCTGCACTTTTTTGATTTGGGCAGGTAGGTACTAGTGTTAGTGTACTACCGTACAATCCCTCTTTTTAGACGGCCATTGGAATTTTTTGACAGGCCCAGCCCAGTATATCGAGCACCCATTTTCAGATTTTCCTGCCCCAAACAATCATGTTTTGGTTCGGGCGTGTTTGGTTGGTCTGGAAGTTGCTATTCCTGAAAATTCTTGTTGGACATTTATTCGATTAAACTCTTTAATTGACTAAAGTGCAGTTTGCAAGGGGTCAACAATTTCCAGAACAACAACTTTTGTGATAGCAGTTTCGAAACTGCTAACCAAAGTTATTAAACATGCCTCATTTTTCGGTAACAACAACTTTTGTGATGATGGCAGTTTCGAAATATCTAACCAAAATTACCAAACATGCCTTTGTTTACCATACTTTTCCTACAAATAAGGGTGCGTTTGGTTCTCCCTTCCCACGAAAAAATTTCTTGGGAAGCCAAGCCAAGCCAAGACTCTTGGCTTGGCTTGGGATTTTATTTTTCCAACGTTAAGAGGGTTGTAGTTAGTTATATTGGCCATATAACCAACTAACAACTCTTGAAAGTTCTCCTCAATCAAATATATGAGAAGAAATCTTTGCTGAGAAATGTAATTAGTTTAATTTTTTTTTTTTTTAACAATTTTGACATTACGTACAAGAATATATGAGGGAGGGGAAAAATGAGTTTAATGGGGTCGAACACGCCACTCACGGAAATAAACAGTTTTAACTCAAAGTCCAATACTATTAGGTCGAAACGGGTCATTCAATGCAATTAGTTTAATTGAAAAAAAAAAACATGTCATATCGAATTTCATGCAATATAACTAAATTTTTATGTAATATAATTGATCATAAATTCATTACACTTTCCAAGCACATATTTCAATGTTAGGACTTATAAAGCCAACTTTTCTTTCAAGAATTTTTTTTATAGGAAAATGATTATAATTGATTTTAAAAATAAATAATTATGTTTTTATAATCAATTATATACCTGTTATAATTAATTATATAGCAATATAATCACTTGCACAATCTATTATAATCAAGTATATTTTAGCTCCATTTTCATGCTAGAAAAATTAATTTCCTAAACTAAGCCATTTGACATTTTTAGTCAGCTTCTGATCTTTTATTTTTATTTTTGGACAAAGTAGGCAACCAAACAACCCCTAAAAGTTGGCTTAACTTCACATGAAAAAATTTCCTAAGGAGGGTGAACAAATGCATCTTAAGAGTATATTTGATTTGAGGAAAATGAAAAGAGGGATGAATTTTTTGAGCAACTAGATTGTATTATTTGTCAATATTATAATTCCATTGATTAAAAAAAGCATCACCCTTCTCCCTTCATCTTCATTTTCTTCAAACCAAACATTCTCTAAGGGAGTGTTTGGTTCACAACTTTCCCAAAAAAAATTTTCGAGAAAGTCCAGCCACTAAGCCAATATTATAGGCTTAAGTATTGAAATCTATGCCAAGAAAATGAAATGCTTGAAGTAGTGGATTATAAAGCTTATAATCGATTCTGGATGATGTTTCTTGCCCAAAAACACGGCAACAAAAACTTCCAGGTATTTTAATCGATCATATTATTTGTAATTGATCATGTTTTAATGTAATTGTTTTGAAGTAAAATACAATTGATTGCATTTTTATTTTGATTTTTGTGTCAAGATTGTTATTTTCTTGAGTCAAATCATATTCACAAAGGCTCACGGTTTTCCTATAAAAACAATCCAGAAAAACGATTTACCAAACAAGCCCTAAATTCTTCAAGAATTTCTAGCTAGCTCTCAATTATGCTTATGATTCGCACGGCTGCCACTGATTTCTAGCCAAAAATAGGGATTTCGAGCAATTGTTTTCAATCCTTTCTAGAAATCCCAAAGAAGAGTGGAACTTTTAGTGATGTTTTCCCATCATTGAAATTCCCTTGTCATGGCATAGTTGGATATTGGACTGTTCGGAATTCGCTATCACAATTTTAGTTTCTTTCTTTCCATTCATTCAGGATGACTTAAACTTCGGCCACAAGAAACAGAGATTGACTCATCATACATTTTCCATACAACAATAATGTCTACGCATTATGGTTTGAGAGATCTGATGAGGTGGGTAAGCAGTTCTTCATTGTGCTCAGTAGGCCATGCCTAGTTGATGCAAGCATGAATTATGGCAATCAAGTTTTTGATTGATACAGACACTAATGCATTTGCTGGATAATGCCACTAATTCCCTTGTCACGCTTTCAGTAACGCCTGCGCGATGTGTCCAACTGGGGGTTAGTGCACCTCATCGACCATTTTATGACCATAATTTATTGAGTATAAGCTTAAAGTCGATAATGGAAAATTGGAGGATTGAATTCTTAAGATACCCTTTTGTATCATTGCTAAAAATTTGAAAATTAAAAGTTTGAAATCAAACTGAAGAATTACTTTGTGGCACATTGACTGGGTTGAGCACATTCAAAATGTTAGACAACAGAGGACCATAAAGAAAAGACAGAAAATCTTGATAAGAATCAAGAGTCATTATTCATATGGTCCCAACATTCAAGCATGTAACATCAAATTAAATGAACTGGGGGCCTAAATAGTTTAATGAAATGAAACAGTTCTATGTAGAAGCAAGTAAGGATAAGATATGGCGCCTCTCCTCTCTCTTGGTATCTAACTAAAGTATAATATGTATTTATCAAGGAACTAATTAATTCAAGAGTAATATTCTTTTATTTAATGTAAAAAGTTCTGATTTTGAATTTCATATCATGTGAATAGAGTGAGTTACAAAATGAAAAAAAAAAAAAAAATTTTATTGTGTAACTCAAATAAAAAAAATACAATACCTTACTGCTTTTGGTGTCTTCCAAGTATAACTTCCAAAAACATAAACAGTAGTAGTAAATTTAAATTAGGTAGACACACATTACATTCGCTCATCTCCTAAGATAGATGTTTTTTTTTTCTTTTTATTATGGCAAGTGGTTTGGGGGTGGAAATCGAACACTCGCCATGGTGAAAGATACTTACATTAAGTTGTTGGGCCATTAAGCAAACAGGTTTTTTCAAGATAGATGTTTTTAAGTAGGGATTATAATATATATTATTGTTTGAATACTGAAATTGTTAACATTTTATTAATAAATATAAAATAATATTACTTAAAATACTTTAATAAATTTAATATTTAAACGACATAAATATATATATAATCTGCACTGAATACGACACATTTCTATATAAAACTAAATGTTTTGAATGAGCCAGGAATATGCAAAGCTAAAGCAAGAAAAGAGGAGAAAGAAAGAAGAGGATAATGCAAAAAGAAAAAGAAAAATGAAGAGCATCTTAGTTGTTGCATTCGCTGGCTAATGTAAGGCCAAAAAAGTGGAGAGAGAACGTACACTTGGCATTCATTTGTTAATCTTCGTAAAAAGGACGAAAAAACCATGGGCTCTTTTTGTCCCTACGTTCGTATATGGTTCTTTAATTCTGGGTTCGGTTGATCCAAAATAGCACAAGTGAATTTCCCCCACTTGTTTTTTCCTTTTTGAAAACTATGATACCACCAAGCATCATTTGCCATTTCTGCCTGCTGCGTCTGTCTCGAAAATGAGAGTACATATCTCTGCTACTCCCCACCAAATCACAAAGGAATCACTATGTTTAAAGGAAATGAGTAAATGGCTTTTGTAGTCCTTAACACTTACAATCTCTTGAAAAAGTCATGTACCCAGTACATTAGTAGGAGCAATTGAGTTTTTAATTCTCTCAAAACAAGTATATTACATATGATGAGATTTTATTTTTTTTGTTATACATAATTTTTATTAAGTAATTTTATTTTATTAAAAAAATTTTAATTATTATTTTCGTGATTTATATAAAAATATCACCTAAAATTACTTATAAAAAAAATCTAACAAGGAGTACTTTTGTACAAGCATTTCCAACATGCAAACAATTAATGTAGAAGCAAGTATTCTTTTTGTCTAACCATGCCAACACGCAGACACAATGCCTACTCCATCCAAAATCCACCCACCAGGCCACAACAGCTCAAGTTCAAGTAATTTTCTTTACCTCACTAAGTTATCTTTGCATTAATTATTACCCAAACCACTCCACCAATTCATAAAACAAGGTTCACGTTGTAATTTCACTACATTAACACTACTAAATCTTGGACGGTAGGCACCAGGACTCTCAACACAACTAGTGTTGGATGGTGCACCATCAGGCGATTCAGGCCAATA